GGGACAACGTTATACGCTAAACAACTCATTAGATTCTTTAAAGGGCCGCTTGCCAAAGTTTTAAGCTTTAGGGGGAAGCCGGAGAACCCGGGGGGGGGGGGGAGAGAGCTGGAGAGAGCTGGAGGACCCGGAGAAAGTCCACGAGGTTGGGCAGGCGACAAAACTCCCTTTCACGTACAAGCAGGGAATCGAAACTTCGCCACTTGATTCAATGACAGATCTATTTAAGATCTAGTCCATAAGCGTTACACTATTAGCCCCCTCCCCTCTCCACCACCACCACTACCACCACTTTTAGTAAAACATAATTATTTTTAAAGGTTTATTACTGAAGTATAGGCCTCTAATGGAAAGGTGTAATCGTATTTCTCATATTATGCGAGTTGTGCAGGTAATTATAGATCACGTGACACCTACCTGTAATTATGGTTTATAAACAGGGCGAAACTTACCTTTTGGGGTATATATAACACTGTACTAGCTACCTGTAATTATGATTTATAAATAGGGCGAAACCCTCTTACATATTGGGGTTTATATAACGCTGTACCTGTCCAGGTGAATATAACGATCTATTATATACCTGGTGTGAATAAAAGATTTTGTGCGAAAGAGTGGGTCTGGGTGTAGATATTATTCATATGTAACCTGAATCTAATATGTATTTATTCTGAAATGGGGTTTAACGTCCTACTTTTCTGATCCGACTGGGCTAATGAAAAAAGGCATACACCATGCCATGTCCTATGAGGGAAAGTTCGCCCGGGAAGTAGCACTAGGGCTCTGTTATAATGAATTCCAATTGCCAAGGGTTCTCTTACGTACACGCTAATATGTACACAGGACCTCTCTTCTCCGTGCCATTCCAACCGCGTGAGTTTTCTCTCGGTCCTCCGGTTTCCTCCCACTGCTAAAGACCCCTACGCGCAAGCGAATTATTGAAATAAAATTTTAAAAAAACCCATGTTAGTTCCGAAATGACCTAGTTTGTGTCGAGTGAACGTTAAACCCCATTTCTCTCTCTTTCTCTCCCTCTCTCTCTCTCCCCCTCCCTCTCTCTCTCTCTCTCTCTCCGTACCATCCGAACGACTAGACACTGTTCTTTGTTAGGTCCTGGGTCCTGCACCACCCCCGTCATTATTCAGTATTACGTATTACTCTTGTCAGTATTTGTCTAAAGAGGGGAGTCGCGGTGGCTCAGTGAGTAAGGTGGTGACTCAGTGATTAAGGCGCTGTCTCACTAACCAGGAAATGAAATGAAATGAAATGAAATGGGGTTTAACGTCCTACTGTTCTGCTACTATACTGGGCTAATGAAGACGGGCTTACGCCATACAGTGTTCGATGAGGGAAATTTTGCCCGGGCAGCGGCACTATCGCCTACTCTTATATCGAATTCCAACTGCCAGGGGATCTTTTACGTGCATTCCAATATATACACGGGACCTCGGTTTTTCGTCTCATCCGAAGGACTAGACAGCTACTCCTTGCCAGGCCCTCCGTCCTGCCACTAACCAGGAGGTCCGGGAATCGATCCCTGTGTTAGCAGAGAAGGTACCTCCAGACTTCTCAGGGTGGTTTCCCCCTTGTCAGTGGTGCAGGATGGAGGGCCTGACATGGAATGCGAAATAGGAGTAGGACGTTAAACCCCATTTGACGTTTGGTCTATCGCTTTCAATATATCCCCTTTTCGTTGTGTATTTTTAAACTATTATAGCAAGAATGGTCAGCTCTTTATCTAAATCTTACATAATGTATCTTTAATGAATAGATAGTGTATAAGCAACTCTACCAAGTAAATTCCCCTCCAATATCTTGTATTTTTATCCAGTTTATATACATAAGTAGATAAAGGTTTAAAACAAGATAATTTTATAAAATGAAAATACAGCTGATATAATAACCAGTGATATAGGATGTTTATTTTAACACGTTATTGGTATATAAAACATGTACACTATTTAAAGTGGACCGTATATCTATATCATTTATATTTCACACAATATTTCCCACGCAGGTCCACCGTTCAAATAGTGTTAATGCTTGTAGGATATGTTTTATTTGTTCATTACAGAATGGCACCTGAAACCATATGGTACACGACTCGTGTACTGATTACAAAATGTTAATTGTATCTTAAATATTGGATATTAGGATCGTATAGTTTCACGACAATAATTCATGTTTTTAATTTTGAATATTGTGAAAATATTGAGTTGGAGACAGTTCCTTTAACATTATGTTTTACCATTCGATATAATACACACATCGAGACGAAACTATGACCAACTGTTGAATAATTCAAAAAGTCCAATTTTGCCAAATTTGATTAGCAAATTTAAAAATTGATTAGCAGTTTTTCAGTTTCAACGTAAAACACCTAAATAACAAGATATTACTTTAATTCATAACGAATTGAAATATGATTAGATTCCATTCTGACTATTCTTAGATTTTTTAGCACTGCCACAAGTACTTGTGACAGTTTGTGAATGTGATGTAGACATTTAGTTAGGTCTTATGTCTGAAGCCAATTCTTGACAGTGACTTCCGAAGCTCCACTCAATTTAATTGTAATTTTTTTGTTACGTTAGAAATCTTCGTTAGAAAACAATTTCGTCTGCTTTTTATCGTATATTATTATTTTTGTTCAATCGGGCGCACCTCGATTAACTAGACACACGCGATATAAACAATAATATTTTACGGGAATTTTTACTTTGATTTATCATTTTACAATACGTTAACATGTGTTTATTTTTTTTATATTTTATTTACAATACGTGGGAGATACACTGGATTTATTTCTTTCAAAATGAATATGATATAATTACTTGATGTCTCACAACGTGAGTGGTACTACTTGATTCCCTATTTCCGGTTTAATAGTCCCTATTCATAGAGTTATGTCCCTGTGTTATATAGTATTGTGTCTGGGCAGTTCGAGAAGAAAATGTCACACGGAGAATTCAGTTTTGTTTATAAAATTTTATTCAACATTTTATACACGTTGAAAGTGTTGAGTAAGCCTTCTAGTCTTAAAAATGTGGATTATTCTTGTGTCAATATCCAAAATGACAGGCATATTAATGATTCGCAGTAACTGCGAATCAAAAACGTTAGATTTTAATTTTTGGTTAGCAACGGACAAAATATGTATCGCAAATTGCGCTGCGATACTGGTTGTCGGCAGCCCTGGAGAGAACTAACTAGTTAGTGGACTACTTCGAGACAGGTCGACTTTCTTCATTTCAAGGCCGATCACCCCACCCACTTCGATAGAAGAATTTATTTTTTTTAAAACTATGTTGACTTTTTCATTTTGTAATGTCAGCCTTCTTAGCATCCGCCTGGAGAGTATTTTCGAAATTGGGATCAAAGGTGTGCGCGGGGGGGGGGGGGGGCAAACTGTTTATTTAAAAGAGTATCTTTTGGTATAATGAGGAGGAGACATCATCCTCCCCCCCCCCCCACACACACACCTTTAATGAACATCCGTAAAATTCGTCATAAAATCATAGCCTACCAGGAAGTCATTTTTCAGCCCCTTTAAAACAGGGAAATCCCTAAGGACATGATTACCTAATACTTTTATAAATTGATAATGTACGATCTCTTTATAAATTGATAATTATTAATCGATTATGTACGATTTCTGTGACAGTTGTTTATGATTACCACCTCTATGATTAATATGTTTTTTATCGTGACTTGAACCCGGGCTTATCTCCCAGATAGTAATTGCAATTAGTTACAGTTCTTTTTGTCGTGACTTTACCCCGGGCTTATCTCCCAGACAATAATTGTCATTAGTCACAATTCTTTTTGTCGTGACTTGACCCTGGGCTTATCTCCCAGACAGTAATTGCAATTAGTCACAGTTCTTTTTGTCGTGACTTGACCCAGGGTTTGTCTCCCAGATAGTAATTGCAATTCGTCACAGTTTTTTTGGGTTGTGTTCTAAATGTCGTTTCCGCCGGGTTCCCCTCACTCCGCATATATTTTGTTACGGAGGGGACATCGTCATTTTCTTCGGGGATGTTACTGGTAAATGAAGTGAAATGGGGTTTAACGTCCGACTGTTCCGCACCTATTGGACTAATGAAGACCGGCATACGCCGGAAAATCTGTTCCTGATAACACCGACTCTTCACATCATTACCATTACTTTAACGTCCGCTCCACCCTTAATTATATCCGCAACAGTAGATCTGATCCATCATTTGGCATTAATGACAATTTCACTGTGTTCAATCAGGGATTATTGTTTTTCACGTCTACACTTGGGGCTATTGTTTTAAACGAGGAAATGTGAAAGTCAGATTTTGACACATTGGTGATTATCTTACTGTCCTATCAAAACGTATCTCAGTCATAGTCCAGATCAACAAGACGTTAGATAAATTATAGTCTAGGGCACCAGGTCGTTTGTTTCTTATCAGCAGATATGACTTATTATATAGATCAGTGGACTAAACTGGATAACGTGTCTTAAATATACGTCACACATATCGCTCCTACGTCACTTTCCTCCAAGACGTCGGTGTCACAACACGTTAACTTAGTGTCCTGGCCCCAGTTTCACCAAGCATTCTCAGACTTAAGTTAAGAATTTCCTCTAATTTTAACTAAAATATAGTCCTTTATTAAACTTTTGTTGTTTTATTGTATCAAATACATCAATAAGAAACTATTTTCAAAGTTTTGTGTTTCTGGATCAAAGATATTTCTCATAGACAGTGATTGAAAGTTGGGTAAATTCTTAACTTACGTCTGAGAATGCTTGGTGAACTCGGGCCCTGGGCTACAAAGATTACATCACACCTGTAGTGTAATGATTGTATAGAAGCGATGGGCGTGGTTAGATGATGGGGGTTCAACACTTTCAATTGTCGTAAAACAAACTACGAGTATAATAGTTTTATTGTTATCTATGTGCACGTGTGATATATAAACAATTGACCTCTAATATCGAGCTGGCTTACTCACACCGTTAAAATAGACATAAAACAAACAGCGATAACCACAATGAAGAAAATACTCCTCGAGTACTTTTGTCGAGTTATTTATGACAGACGTGACGCTAAGCCCCACGAACGAACAGCAGCTCTACGATATAACTCATTGTGAATGTGAACGTTAGACCGCATCAAGTCGACCCTCCAAATAAGGGAACAAAATGTTTGGCAACTATATTAACTTGTGTTGAAGTGAATTATTAAGGACCTGTTTATCGATTGCCCAGATCTTATCGTGGGAAGAGTCGTTTAAAAAAAACCTCAGGTGAGATTATATGAATGGAAGGCCTTGCGGGGTCTTATTTACATAAACTTAAACTAAAATATTTCAAGAATTTAATCTGTTCATAGGCCTAGAGCTAAAATTTGTACTGGGCTCTTAATTACCCTGGGGGTTGGGGGTTGAGTGGGAGAATGGTTAACGCGTCGAGTGGCGTGGTTTCGATTCCCGCTTGTACGTGACAAGGAGTACGATCGCGTGCCTAACCTCGTGGGTTTTCTCCGTGTCCTCCGGTTTCCTCCCACTGTTAAAGACCACTACGCGCGAGCGCATTATTGAAATAAATTGAATCATATGTTAGTTCCGAAATGACCTAGTTTGTGTCGAGTGGACGTTAAAACCTATCTCTCTCTTATTTTTTTCTGTCGATCCAACTGCCACAGTTGACCTTGAATCACGGCCCAACAGCTACAGTGGACCTTGAAGCGTAGAACAAATATGGAGGTGGTTTCAAGTTGAAACATGTGTATATAATACGGCGGGATAAATATACATCAAAGTGATTTCGGTACAGAAAATATTTCTTAATTTGTCTTTCACAATAATCCCAACCCCAACCTCCCCTAGATCTGTTGACATTCTAACATATATATGTCAATATGACGACTTCAACCGATTTAAAAATGTTACTTTTAAACCTCTTATAAGCTGATTGACGAACATGGTGTTAAATGTTTCAACGAAATTATGAAGAAAAGCTTGATAATAGTTTATATGGTTTATAACCCAACAGTAAAGAAGGGGGGTCCTTTTTTATCATAAAGTTAAGACACGATACAATACAACAGAGCGCGCACGCACGCACGAGAAAAGGAGAGAGTTGGGGGGGGGGGTAGCGCCCCTTGACACAAACTCCTTACACTCAGGATTACAAACCCCCGTGAGAGAGAGGAGGAGACTAACTGGTATCAGGTGTTCTAGAAAGGGTAAGCAGACCCCGTTTTGGCCATAACCCCAGTTAAATAGTATCGGACTCGGACGTAAAACAAAACCCAAGACGCCGTCTTATTGCGTTGTTCTAAGAGGCTGGGAGGCGCGGTGGCTTAGTGAGTAAGGCGGAGTTCCCGTGTTCAATTCCAGTATTGCCGACAACGGTCATCGGGATTTTCCGACGGGATTCCCCTTGTCAGTGGTGCAGGACGGCCGGCCTGGTATGGAACTGGGTAGTTTTGTTGGGATGGGAGGAAACCAAGGTCCAGTGTACACAATGCGTGCAAGTTAAAGATCCATTGTCAGTTTGATGTCTATACAAGAGTAGGCCGTAGCGACCCATAGGACACCGAATGGCGTATGTCCGTCTTCATTAGCCTAGTGGGGGATCACGGTGGCTAAGTGGGTAAGGCGCTGGCTCGCTAGCCTAGAGGTCGGGTGTTCGATCCCTGCATTGGCCGAGAAAGTTCATCCAGATTTTCCGGCGTGGTTTCCCCTTGTCAGTGATGCAGGACGGAGGGCCTGACAAGGACAGCTGTCTAGTCATTCGGATGAGACGAAAGACAGAGATCCCGTGTACACATTGGCGTGCACGTAAAAGATCCCTTGACAGTTGGAATTCGATATAAGAGCAGACCGTAGTGCCGCTGTCCGGGCAAAATTTCCCTCATAGCACACTGTATGGCGTATGCTCGTCTTCATTAGCCCAGTTCGGAGCAAAACAGTAGGACGTTAAACCCCATTTCATTTCATTTCATTTCCTTAGCCTAGTCGGGACAGAATAGTAGGGCATTAAACCCCATTTCATTTCATTGCAATGTATGTTGGGTTGTGTAAACTTGCTTTAAGTAGTATGTGATAAATTAAGTATAATTATTTGGCCAGGCTTGGAGAGATACCCTTCACGATAAATCTAACACACTGAGAACAGACAGGTTGCTTGTTAAAAACATATTATATGAACATCTCGAGTGTAGCCAAGCACGAAGAGACAAGAAAATACCAAACCATATGACAAATACCTTGGGAAAAAACACAACTAATTCACTGTACAATAACAAGAGAGGCAGTCGAGTTTCAACCTTCACTCAACTCTAACTGGGTCATTTTGGGACTAACATATGGTAATCTTTATAATAATAACACATGTGCGTGCTGGTGACTTTATCAGCATGAGGAACATGAACGTTAGGCGAGCCTGGGATTGAATCCATTACTAGCATAGACATCATACATTATAGTATAAAGCGTCCCCTCAGTTTACATACACTCACAGTTTATTTGGAAGATGCCAGGCCATAAAAGTCTCTAAAGCCAAATTCATACGATGAGATCAGCGCATGTGAATGGGGGAGGGCGGCTGAATGGTGGCCGAATGCATGGTTAGCAAGTGGACGTAAAACCCCATCACTCCCCCCCCCTCTCTCTCTCCCCCCCCCTCTCTCTCTCTCTCTCTCTCTCTCCCACTCTCTCTTCGGGAGATGTGGCACGTCATAAAAGTACCTAAAGCCATGTTTATACGACGAGATCTGCGCATGTGTATATTTTTTAGATATATTAATGTAGATCAGCTTACGCGAGTAAACCTGGCCGTATGAACGCACCCGGTCTATATTTTCTACAAGATTGGCATCAGTTTTGATTGAAATGTAGAAGTTGGAATATGTTTTACCATTCAGTGCATGATACTGGTCACCATGTTTCAATAATTTCACCAATAAAACAGAATATATTGTTTCATATAATCGAATTTTAATCTCATTTTCTTGTCGTTTTCAGATTCAGAAATCAAAGAAGCCTTCACGATGTAAGTACTGAAATGAAACTTTTTACAATTTTATAGCGCAACATTCGTGACTTTAGACCACGAATTAGCAAACAGTATTTGCTATATAACTAGTTTGTGATGTATATGAAAGTTAGCGTCCAATTCAATTATATTATTTTCTTGCAACTCTTACACTGTGAACCGTCTCCGAGTCCAGTTTTTGAAAAGAAAAATGTGTGTGTGTGTGTGTGAAGGGTGGGGCGGAGGGCAGAGGGACGTTTAGTAAAGTGCTTGGTTTTTAGTGCCGCGAAACTTTCTGGGTCAACTTCAAACTTCCAATCTTTTTAAAATTCAAATTTCAAATGGGTCTAATCTTATTGCATGCTTGGATGGGGTGATGGTAATACGATCAAGATATATTTATATGCAGAACAACATCAATTTATATCCCGACCTGACCTCGTCCTCTATAAGGCCAAATTAACAAAATTAGGTGTGTTTAGGGTTACTCGTCCCACCCTATTTTTTTTTCAAAAACCAGAATCGCTGACCCTAAACATTTTTTCTCGCATTTCCCGGGCACTACAGCTCGGTCTTCAGGATTTTCTCTAGACAAATTCCAACACTGTGATTTTGGTAATAATCCCAAGAGCCCTACTCAGTAATTAAAGATACATTATACCCGGAGATTAGATAACGAGCTGACAGTACTCACTTTAATAGTTAGAAACTAGATACTGTAAAGCCGATTTGCTGAAAATATCAGTCAAATTGATCCACTCTGAACCGAGATATTAGCGATTAAATTTTACGCCTAGCTTTCATCATCATTACTAAAGTCGGCACGATAAAAATACATAGTCTCGATATCCATTTTTGGATTAAATCATCAATGAGCGTTGAGCAGCAAATCGGATTCAAATCCAGTAAATGTCTTAGGATATCGATGACATCGAGAGTTGACTATGATCTGGATAAGTTAATTAATGTTTAAAAATATAACTTGAGAATATGAAATTGCAACTTAAGCTAGAAATGATAGGAAATCGATAATACAAGTCTTAAGAAAAGTAATTTTTGGGGTAACGTAACCATAAACACGTTTCTTTTCTTCTCGGCTTCACTATATGCTAGGAAATAGAATACATACCCCACTTAACCATAAACCCAGGTTTTTTGTCTTCTTAGCCTAAGTATATAAGCCTATATATCTATATATAAATAATAAGTAAAACAGGATTTACCTGCATCCTCACTAATATTTATTTACCTCTAGTTAATACATGCACACCTGGAAAATAAATAACTTGAAATTTTATATAAAAACAATTCCAAACTGACATTACTTTCAAGGGTACCGCGGTCGCTCAGTGAGTGAGCGTAAGACGTTGGCTACGGCTAAATCTATTTGCTAAGGCCAGCTCAATTTCCGTCAAGGTCGCTGAGATATAAATAAGGTTAGGGTACGTGATTGTTGTCGAGTTTGTAGGTTGGGGTTATGGTAAGCATTAGGGCTAGGTCCAGAGTTAGGTTTAGGGTTGAGATAAACGCTAACCCTGTTTACATCTCGTGACCTTTCACCAAACTTGAAGTTGGCCTTATCAATTAGATCTAACCAGTTGCCTAGCTAACCTGTAGGTGACGTGTTCGATTCCGGGGTTGGCCGAGCAAGATGATCGTGATTTTCCGGTGTGTTGATTTATCTACATCCTGACTACTATTTACATAACCCCAAAACCTATCTGCCTATTAAACGACTAGTTAATACAAGCACACCTGCAAAATAAATAACTTTAAATTTAAAGATTAATATTGTAAGAGCTAAATATGCTTATTGTAGTCCTTTTTTTCTGGTTTCAAATGTTATATTAAATTATTATTGAGACATTTATTCACATGACAAGCATTTATTCAACTCTCTAAAACATCGGATGACAGATATTTAAATGGACTTGATCACACACGAGATTTAAAAAAAAATAAGATAAAGTGGATAATCGAGGCTTAGCCATACTTTCGCCAAGAATAAAGTAATTTGAATGAAAGTTTCAAATATTTATTTTTCATCATCTATTTTTGAACTATTATAGGAAGAACGGCCAGTCTGTTATCTACATCTTACATAATGTCTCTTTAATTAGGTGTTCAATTTTATTTCATTTCATTTCTCAATATATTGCAACTACACCCACACCGAGAGTTGTTGAAAATAATAGAACTAATCTTGTTCATATTCCTGAAGCAAATATCTCTCTGGTCATTGCTGGATTGACTTCTGATACTTTAGCTTTTGAGGGTGTCTGTCTATTCTTCCCGTTCAATAAAATCTATCCCAAGTGTAGCAACATGACAACTCTTCGTTTAGTCTGGGTCTTCCCTAAGACTTTGCACAGTGATTTAAGGTATTAAAAACATGAAAGTACATTGTTCGTCTCCAAACAGTATTGTTTTCATTGCATCCGTTTTGAGTCAACTGGTTTGGTTTCGAATCTCCGGCTGCTTGTCCAACCTCGTGGGTTTTCTCCGGGTCGTCCGGTTTCCTCCCATTGCTAAAGACCCCTACGCACAAGCGAATTATTGAAATAAAATTAAAACCATATGTTAGTCCCGAAATGACCTAGTCTGTGTCGAGTGGACGTTAAACCCCATTTCCCTCCCTCTCTCTTGTCACGCAATTAGTTTTTCTGCAATATTCTGCTATTCTCTGGAAGCTTAAAATAAACGAACGTGGTTCGAAAAGCACACATTAATGCAATATGAGCGTATATAAAGTAATTTCTAATCAATAAAATAAAACCAAGTACGAACAATCGAAACCATTAGACAAAATTCGAAGTCCTAAAAAACGGTATAGGCAAAATAGTGTAATAAGGCAAAATAGTGTAATCAGCATTCGGTGAAATACATGAACAGTCCAAACTGCGCCTGCTTAGTCCATTCTACGCGTTGCTTTCTTTGTCGTTCTTAAATCAGCCATTTATATTTACTTCCGCATTGTCTTCTGGGATATGTTTTACAAATGGCACCCGAAACCATCATGTCCATAGAATACAAGACTGGTGTACTGAATTTAAAATGATCATTGTGTCTTAAATATTTGATATAAAGATCACATATTTTCACGGGGAGGTAATAACACCACTATTGATTAAAATGGATCAATACTGAATTCTAATTCGTGTTTTTAATCTCCAATATTACGGAAAATATTGAGTAAGAGGTTTAGTTCCTTTAAATGACGCTAAAAGGGTAAGACGCTGGCTCGCTAGCCTGGAGGTCGAGTGTTCGATCCCTGCATTGGCCGAGAAAGTTCATCCAGATTTTCCGGCGTGGTTCCCTCTTGTCAGTGATGCAGGACGGAGGGCCTGACAAGGACAGCTGTCTAGTCGTGCGGATGGGACGAAAAACCGAGGTCCCGTGTACACATTGGCGTGCACGTAAAAAATCCCTTGGCAGATGGAATTCGATACAAGAGTAGGCCGTAGTGCCACTGTCCGGGCAAAATTTCCCTCATAGCACACTGTATGGCTTATGCCCGTCTTCATTAGCCCAGTTTAGGAGCAGAACAGTAGGACGTTAAACTCCCATTTCATTTCATTTCCTTTAAATGACAGTCCAAACCAGATTGTATTAATGACCTATATGTACTTATTTCACACAAAAGGCGTGACTCTGAAATGAAATGGAGTTTAATGTCATACTGATGAAGGCGGGCATACGTCATGCAGTGTTCTATTAGAGAAATATTGTCCAGACTGAGGCGCTACGGTCAACTCTTATATCGAATTCCAACTCCCAATTCTTTTTTTACGTGCAGGGCAATGTGTGCACTGGACCACATTATTTCGCCCCATCCGAGCGACTATGTGTTGTCCCTTGCCATGCCCCCCGCCCTGCACCACTGACAATGGAAAACCACGCAGGAAAATTCGATGAAGTTTCCCGGCCAACACCGGGATCGAACACCGGTCCTCCAGGTTACCGAGCTAACGTCTTACTCACTGAGCCACCACTGTTTTATAATCTTTAAGTTGGGGGGGGGGGGGGGGGTGAATGGCTAAATGATTAGCACGTGCGCGCTGTATCATGAAGTCTGTCATTGAGTCAACTGGCGTGGTTTCAGTTCCCCGGTTGTACGTGACAAGGAGTAGGGTTGCCGGTCCAACCTCGTGGGTTTTCTCTGGATCCACCGGTTTCTCCCCACTGCTAAAGACCCCTACGCGCAAGCGAATTATTGAAATAAAATTGAACCGTGTTTGTGTTGAGTGGACGTTAGCCCCCCCCCCTCTCTCTCTTTAATCTTTAAATATAAGTCTAACCCAGATTGTTTTAATAACCTATATATACTTATTTCACAAATAAAGGCGCGTCTCTTTTCAAATAATTTAGATGATTGAACGACAATGAGAACCGTTAAACAGATATATTGATTTTATCTACCACTGCCGAGACAAAACCCTTTTATTTAACAGACCAGGGGTCACATTACATTCATTGTCGATATTAATTATAGGAATTCTTCCCACGCCACAAACCTTCCTTGATTTTTAACTTTGATGAAATATTTTAGAGATATATATGTTTGTTGGCAATAGAATGAAATCAAATGAAAGGAGGGGCGGATACAAACCTGCAGAATTTCTTTTGTAAAACCACTGTTTATGAGAAAATGTGTCACGGTCGTATAGATATACGTGATATCACAGTTTATGCTTTGTATCAATTAAATTGAATTACAATATGATCGTATTAATTTATAAATACAAATTGTCGTCAAACGGGGTGTTTGGGTTTTCTAACTTTGGGAAGGATTGAAAAACAAAAACCCCGTCAAATGGAACCCTTGCCACCTGTTTCATCAAAATGCCGATTTCTACGTATCGGCTGTGAGCCACATGCTCAATCACGGCTGTGGGTCGGATGCTCAATTAATGAGATTGAACAAAAAATCATAAAATGTCTTAAGGGATTCGAATTCCGGGAGTAGTGGGCGATTTCTGAACGTCACCTAATAATATAAAATATGCCGGTATTCAAATGACAAGTATTGTATTAACTGAGGTTTTCTTTGTGTATTCATGCGCTGGCATATATGTATAACATTATTTGAACTAGCGGGGTGTGTCTATATAAACTAACTTTACAATAATGTCTTCTTCTAATCATCGCCTCCGTCTTTCTATGTACATATCTCAATCGCCATTGACCTACTTTCTACCTGCTTGTCGGCTTCTTTGATGTTTAAGGTAAATACACCTAATCACAGGTACATGTAGAATATATATAGATGTATATTAGAAGTGGTATAAATTGTATTATAATATATACCACACTATATATACTACACACCAAACAAAAATACGGACAATACATTGCAAGAAATAAACAATACAAATTAAGTGAATAGATCCAGGGACAGCTATATTAAGCGTCGACTTTAGTTTTACCTCTTCAATCTGATATATACATCACATCACACGCTAGTTTTCTGCCCTAATTGAGCTCTTTTGAAATGGGGTTGAACATTGTAGGCTACTATTTAGTCATGTGGCGAGGTTTCGATTGCCCTCTTGTCACGTGATAATACAAGGAGTAGGTTTATTAGCCCCCACCCCCGAATAAAAGGTCTTCTATGTGCAAGGGAATTACTGAAATAAAGTTCTAAAGTAGTCCCGAATCTCTCTCTCTCCCCCTCTCCCTCTCTAGGTCCTCTCTTCCCCCATTTAGGAATTGCAAGCATGTCAGCAAAAGTAATAAATACTTATGCAGCGTATTTGTTATATATTATATCATTTATTGAAGGTCTCCAGGTTTAATTTGCCTACAGAATGAAACCCAGTGATGTATGAAATATTTCACATAAAAAAAAATGATTGATGAAATAACATCCTCGGGCTACCATATAAAACACATCTTGTGACGTCACGGTCATCAAATTTACATTCACCAGTTGCCGCCTCGTATATAGAAACATCAAAGAATTTAGCGTTGATGATATCATCACGTGATCATAATAAATGAGGGAAATTTGCCCGCCTACTCTTATATCGAATTCCAACTGCCAAGGGATCTTTTACGTGCATTCCAATGTATACACGGGACCTCGGTTTTTCGTATCATCCGAATGACTAGACAGCTGTCCTTGTCAGGTCCTCCGTTCTGCACCACTGACAAGGGGAAACCACGTCGGAAAATCCCGATGAAATTTCTCGACCAATGCAGGGATCGAACACCCGACATCCAGGCTAGCGAGCCAGCGTCTTAACCAACTAGCCTCCGTGGCTCCCCTGATCATAATAAACAGCGTTACTCATCTACAATGTTTGGACCAAAATTATTAACTAGGGCTGAAATCATTTTGCTTTAAAATTGAAGGAATTTTTTTTTTTTGCACACGATTTGGAGGAAAGTGGGTGCAGCGTCTGATCTCGCGTAATTCGCGTGAAAACTTGAGCTAAAAGTTATTAAGGAAAGTGCCAGCTATTTCATTGAAGGATAATGACTAGTGTAGAGGTTAACTACTGGCCAATTAATAAAATAATGAAAGAGCTGAATTCTTCAAACATTTCAGTTTAAATTTTAAATCCGGGCTAATGAAGACGGGTAGACATATGAGTTTATTTTGAGACTTGCATTCTCTTAAATTTTTGTTTCATGTTTGCAATGCTAGAGAGGTGTATTGTTCGCCTACACTTCCTCGCATTCGGATGGTACGAAAAACCGAGGTCCCGTGTACACATTGGCGTGCACGTAAAATAACCCTTGACAGTTGGAATTCGATAAAAGAATAGTCCCCCATAGCATACTGTATTGTCCGTCTTCAATAGCCTGGTTGCAGCAGAACAGTAGAAACGTACTAAACGCCATTTCATTTCCTTTAGATAACAACAGCTAAATTATTAACTAAGTAGGTGACCTAGAAAATAACTCGTGTTGTTTGCTCACAAGATTGTTATTAATTGGTCATGGTTCGTGGTTTCTTCCATGCTCATTATAGCATCGTCACGCTACGCTGGTTTGAACAGCGTTGGTGATCTTGTTGCACTCACCCAAGGGAGGTTACTCTATTATGAAACTTAAAGGTTGTGGATGCAGACCTCTAAACATGCCCGTACTCTAATCATTTCCTAACATTTTCGCTTGGCTTAATGCTTAGCGCTTTCTTCCATATAGAGATCAACTAAAAAGTTGAAGTCACGTCAAGTACCTATATACCCTCCGCCATAATTATCACCGTAACGATGGTAAATATGTCGGCCTTACCATCTCCAATATTCATAAAAAGGTGAAAAATATGTATCTAGATTATAGGACCTAATATTAATTAAAAATAATAATTATAATATTATTTTCGTTCTTAAAGATATTAACAAAACACATTTTTTTTATAAGCAATATCTTTATTCAGATAAAAATAGGGATTGCGGAAGATACATAGCCTATATTAAACCCCTCTCCCTGTCAGATATAGATACATGTATTTACATTTTAGAAATAAATAATCAATGTACACGTGAAAATATGATTGTGTTACAGCTGTCTATGGAATGGATTTACATTTTAGAAATAGGCGAAAATGTACAAGTGAAAATATAATTGAAAATAGAATTATAATGAGTGCGTTAGAATCTGGTAATTTCTAAAAACGAGTGGACAGTTTTAAAAATATTGAGTGAGTTTTCCGTGTAGTCAATTCTGTGCAATAAGACAGTAGTGTTTCGATGGATAGTCGGTAAATTATTTAATGTATTATTTCGGGCATCTGAATATAAGGAGCAATTCAATAAAAAATGTTCCGTATCTTCAAAACATGGATTGTCAAAATGTGACGTAGAAATTTACGTCCGTTTAGATTGCTGGGCGAAGGACTCAATTGCCTCAATCCCGTTTAATTCTTGAATAAAATATTGTTTAAAAAATACCCCCATCTTGTAATAAAAATAAAATAAAAGCAAGTACGAACAATCCAAACCATTAGACAATATTCGAAGTCCTAAAAAAACGGTATAGACAAAATGGTGTAATCAGCAAATGGGTTGTTCACTGTGTACAAAATACACGACAAACAGTGGTAACACGTAAATGACCCGTATGTCATGTACATGATCAGCGTTATAAATAAACTTGTGTTGTGTTCTGGTATTCTGGTATTCACGTATGTCTCAGGAACACCTTCGTTTGGTGTATAATCTACACGTATAATTCAGAGCAACGGGGGCGAGGGTGTGGGGGGGGGGGTGTTCTCGGGGGTGCTGTAAAAATGGCGGACAATGTATATCTATTGTTTTTATGGTCGACGGGGGAGGGCGAAACATTTTGCGCCCCTCTCCCCTCTAGTTACGGGCCTGGTATAAATGTCGTATAATCAGCACTTCGTCATATTATACTGCACGTCTGTTCAATCTCCTCCTTAAATCAAGTTTCAAAATTATAATAATTTAATTTAATATGTTACAGGTTGAAGGACTTACTAGAGGTCTTGGGGAAACTCACCATTTCCAAAGGAGCCCGAGATGATGACGGTATCGACCAGTTCCACCATTTTGTTTCTGTCGCCATATTTGCTGCGTTGGCGGCAGCCATTGGTATGAAACAGTATGTGGGCGATCCGATACATTGTTGGGTGCCGGCTCATTTTGCTGGATCCCATTCGGACTACGCCGAGAATCTGTGTTGGATTTCGCGCATGTACAACATCCATATGGACGATCCCATTCCAGTGAAAATCGAAGAAAGAATCGAGAATGACGTTGGTTTCTATCGATGGGTACCGGCTATGTTTCTCTTGATGGCGCTGATGTTCAAACTTCCCAACGTTCTGTGGACGGAAGTGAGAACCTATTCGGGAATAAACGCCCAAAAGATCGTCAATATGGCGGACGAAACAACTCTCGCACCACCCGAAGAAAGGAAGAAGATGATCAGCGACATAGCCCAGTTCATTGATCGTTGGCTTGTGTCATACAGAATCTATAAATATAACGTATTCATCCGCGCGCGGCAAAAGGTGTCAGGCATCTTTTGTTTCTGCTTTGGCAAACGTCACGGGACGTTTTTGACCGGTCTGTATTTGTTTGTTAAAATACTAAATTGCATTAACGTCATCAGTCAATTCTTCATACTCTCGTCATTTCTGGATATGGATTTTGTCACGTACGGCTGGGAGGTTATAACCCATCTCAATAATCACGGCAGCTTTGAAGACTCCGACATGTTTCCGCGAATCGCCTTGTGCGATTTCCAAATACGTCAACTACAAAATGTACAACGTCACACGCTGCAGTGCGTTCTATCCATTAACCTCTTTGTGGAAAAGATGTTTGCTGTCACGTGGTTTTGGCTATTCTTTCTATCGATCGGGTCCGTTTTTAATCTTGGAAAGTGGATCTACAATATTGCCTTTTCCTCCCGTAAAGAAAGATTTATACAAAAATATCTCAGCATGCTACAGATGGATATTGGTGATCACGAGAAGAAAATATTAAATGAATTTATTAATGATTACTTGCGTGACGACGGCTGCTTTTTGTTGCGTACAGTCTGCAATAACACCAGTGGAGTTTTGACCTATGACCTTTTGAAGGAATTGTGGGGAGTTTTCAAGGAACAGCATGAGAAGAAGAACGAAAACGATTCGTAGATGCCCGGTCATGCGCGTTGGATTGTCTCTTAATATTCTATAAAAATTGATAAACGAAACGAACTTTTTGTAAATGTGTCGTCAATTGAATCTACTTTCCTTTCATCAAATTGTTACGTCATTGCGCGTGGTCAAAGTGAATGTGCAGTCGATACTTCGGTAAACAGACGTTTGTAACTACAATAAGACAGGCTGGTTTGATTCAGTGGCATAGATTGTTCATATCGAGTAGGACAAAATGGCCACACGACACGGATTTATCGCGACAACGAAGTAACTTTATAAAACTTGTTTATTGATTAATAACCACTGGGCCTCCATAATCTGACTATGTTTTATATAGTTAGATCATTATGTAATATAATATATTGACCAGAAAATTGACCATGTTTATCTTTAAAAATATCGGATCGCTTATCCCTTGCAAACTTCACTGTTGTGAACATTGAATCTCTAAAAGAACTATCGGACCAAATATAATTCAGTTCTGTTCAATATTGACAAAGATATGATGATTGGAAAATTTGTCAACACCCAACACCAGCCGAGAAAAAGAAAATATATAGTCAACACGAACCACCAGTGCCATTCCGATTGTATACATCGTTTATTTTGTATTTTTAATTGTATGTTAAACTAGCGACTGACCCGGCTGTAACATGTGTATAGTCATGAACCGAAGTACCATAACTCCAAAACCGGAAGGGGTAGTCCATGGCAACCAGGCCTATGTTACTCCCTGGACCGAGCTACCCCATTACACCAGCGGCTGACTCGGCGTAGGCCGTGTATAGCCATGAACCGGAAGTAGCATAACTCCGACACCGGAAGTGGTAGTCCATTGCAACCAGGGGTATGTTACTCCCCGGACCGAGCTACCCATTAAACCAAGTTTCAGCCTCGAGACAAACAAACAAACGACAGTCGCACATAGTTTAGAGAACCATTTTAGCCTGGGTTAATTCGTGAGGAATTTCCACAAAATGCAAATGGAAATCAACGATTTAAATATGGATAATTCACGTGGTGGGGGCGTGCGCGTGAGTTTGATATTTGTGATGTATATTTTGTTGATCCTGTGTAGAATGCCGGAACTTTAATTGTTTTGTATAAGGCTAAATCTATTTGTTAAGGCCGGCTCAACTTTCGCCCAGGTCGGTGAGATGTAAATAAGGTTAGGGCATGTGGTTGTTGGCGAGATTGTAGTTAGGGTAAGCATTTGGGATACGTACCAGGGTTAGGGTGAGATTAGCCCTGTTTATATCTCGTAACCTTTGACCAAACTTGAAGTTTGTATAGATCGTTCAACTGTGTGAATTTAGATTAGAAGCGGGGATATCTCTAGAATGTAAGTTTTTAAAACAGTCGGGGTTGGGGGGTAATCTGTGGTACTAGACAACAAGAAATAGACAGGGTGAGCGAGAGAAAGAAATGGGGTTTAACGTCCACACGACACACACTTGGTCATTTCGGGACTAACGTGGTTCAAACTAGGTCATTTCGGGACAAATATGGTTCAATTTAATTTCAAAAATTAGACATGCGCCTCTACTCATTGTCTTGGGCCAGTTGGGACTCGAAATCATACTGCTTGACTCACCCAACTCCCGATTGACAAAAAAAAAAATAGCGAGTAGTTAATAGTGCAATATTATTTATATTTAAGAGATTTAAAACATCTCAGCAGATATTAAAATAATACTTTTAGTGTATTATCCTATCAAGTTGAATACAGGGGTGAATCGGGTTGTGGGTGGTAATAAGGGACCACAGCCCCGCCCTCCCTACCCCTGTACAGAATTCGTGTGGTGTTTTTAATCTACAATTAACGATGTGAATAAATAACGAAAAATCTACTGAATATTTATTAATAAGAATGGCAAATAGCCAGCCGGTGAACTTTTTACCCTCGATATGCTGGAGGGTACAGGAAATATGGTGTGCCTTTTGTGAGTTTCCCCGTTGGATCCCCGAATGAGAAACATAAATTGATAGTGATGAACAATAGCACGAAGAAATAGCCGATGTACATCTTGTATAATATATCTATATTAACCAATGAATACAAATGTATAAACTGTTGTTTATATTATACACTGCTGTTTATATTATATACACACTTGTTTATATTATATACACAGTTGTGTATATTATATACACAATTGTGTATATTATATACATAGTTGTTTATATTATATACACAGTTGTTTATAGTATATACACAGTTGTTTATAGTATATACAATGTTGCTTATATTATACACACAGTTGTTTATATTATACACACCGTTATTTATATTATATACAATGTTGTTTATATTATACACACCGTTGTTTATACTATATACACAGTTGCTTATATTTTATAAACAGTTGCTTATATTTTATACTATATTATTATAATGTTAAACTACAGAGTAATAATCATATTATATAGATATATTTATATTATATTCTATTTTATATAACAATGGGTCAGTAAATACCGCATAAATAAATTCTATTTTTATATAAAATTAACTTTTATTGTCGACATTTGGCACCAATTTCGCTGTCTTCCATTTTTAACATATCCTGTATTTTATATTGCCGTTAAATCAAAACGAAAACGTTGCTAAATAAACACAGAAACATTTTTTGGCTTATTATGATTATTGATTATTAATTATCCATGCGGTGCTAATGTAAATAATATAAATTGTTTTTTTTTTATCTTAGACTTAATTGTTTATATGGAGCTTGTTATTGTATAAGCGGTGATAATATAAATACTGGAACGTTTTATATCTTAGAATTATTGTTTATATGGTGCTAATATAAATACTGAAACGTTTGAAGTCATAAACATCCACAAATGATTATTGTGCCTGCATTTGTACTGCTAGATTTTCCACATTTCATATCATCTATAAGTGTTTCATTGACAGAAACAATGTACATGTAAAACGTTTTTTTTTTTTTGTTGTTTTTTTCTTGGTAGTTAACAAAATACCCCACTTGTACCATCCCCCCCCCCCCACCCAACACATATACTCTCCAACCCCCTCGCATTTACAGTGGGTTTAAAGTCCTACCTTCTGCACCGACCTGGATAATGAAGACTATGTGAGGGAAGCATGAGGTCCAGCTGACGGATGTGTGGCGTTATCAGTGCGGATAGAATCGAAACCCGTGAGGAAAAAGAATCCACTTGCGTTATGTAGAAAAGCGAAGTTCTCTCGGTAAAAAACCACATAGCTGGGCCCGTGGATTATTTACATATTAAAAGCTGTTCGCCCAACAAGTCCCTTGCAGTTAAAAGTCCTTTAAAGCGGTTGACAACACTGTTTAAAATTTATAGTTTGATCCGTCATCCACACGCAAAACGTCCACAAGCATTAGTTGACTTGCCCACAGAGAACGCTAGTGGTGGACTGCGAAAACTGATGTAGACTATAGATTCGTGTCGGATCTTTATATGTTAAAAATGACCATTGGCAACATTATTCACATGTTGCATTACTAGACCTTGTTAAAGATATGCCAACTCTTGAATTTATTAGGTGTTTAGAAGATTTGGTGCCCGTCAATGGTTATTTCAAATCAGCAGCCAAGGAGTTGTGTGCTATTGTAACTAGTAATTCGGTTAATAACTAGTTGACAAAACGGACGCTTTAACTGGACTTTTAATCTAGAACGAAATGGGGTATAACGTCTACTTGACACAAACTAGGTCATTTCAGGACTAACATATGGTTCATTTTTTTTTATTTCTCAATAATTGACTTGCGCGTCGGGGTCTTTAGCAGTGAGAGGAAACCGGAGGACCCTGAGAAAACCCACGAGGTTGGACAGGCTGCCCTACTCGCGTGCAATCGGTGAATCGAAACCACGCCAGTTGACCCTGCAATGACAAACCTTATAATACAGCGCGTAACCGCTAACCATTCGGCCACTCCCAGTTAAATTATGATGAATTATTGAAACAATTTCAAACCGTAGACCTTTATCATACTATCTAGTACATAGAGGAGTCACTTACTCTCTCTAATTGACTTTACGGTCGAAGCATGCCTAAAGTCAAAGAATCAAAAATCGGTTTAGATTTTATGAGCAAGGCTGCTATCACATACGCAAAAGATTTAAATATTTGAACCAAGTTCTATGTCATTTTTGGACCAGATGGAAAAATGAATATTTAGTTGAGCTTCGAAACTCTCATCGCGTTATTCCCAATTCAAATAATACCGATATTAAAATGCGCGTGATGTGGTTGTTAACAATGAAAATAAAAGCTGTGTAAATGGAGTTAACTCCCTTAGATTCTGAGTTGTACTTCCACCATGCATTCCAACAGAAGATACAGCCACGTGAAACGTCACAATTCCTGTTTTATCAGTCAGTATATTGTAAAGAACAGGACCATCAACGCCATTACTCCGCGATTAAAACCATTATTTAATCGTACTGCTAATCGTGATAGTGGGAACCTAGAATTCCGATGCACTGCGATCTCTGTAGAAGTTTAGTCGGGTCGTCGGGGTCCAATCGTAGCACAAACCATGATCATTCTCGATCCCGATCGTTCCTGAAGCAACGACTGCGAGTGTTACAACATCTGGACGTTGCTAGATTACTTCACAATTCTCGTACTTATAACGACGTTATGTGCAGGCATGATGTGACATAGCGACCCCCACTGAAAACTAGACGTTGAAGGAACCTTGAACTTTGCAACTCGATTATCACAGGTAGACATTTAAGCTTGATGCGCGAAACGTGGTATTCGCGACGATCGAGGAATGTGATAGGCTCACAAGCTGGGCTTGTACCCAATCGAAATTAGTGCCAGAACGTATCGACCCCAAACGTGAAATTTTGGAGAAGTAAATAAAAAGACTGGCCACTCGTCGCGTTCGTAACGCATCGCACGACGGTGGGAACCTAGCATAACTAATAAATTGAAATTACATTTGTAATTCTAGCACTTATTAAACATGCATTATACAAGAGCTAAATCTGCTTATTACAAGTCTTTCTTTAGGCCTGAAATGTTATCTAAATTATCAATAAGACATTAATTAACTTATTCAGACCATAATAAACTCTCGATGTCAAGGCTAGCCTTCGATGTAGGCTGGATTAGATTCATATATGCCGCTAACGGCCACTGATAATTAAATCAGAAAAAGTGGATAATCGAGACTATGCTGTTTATATTAATGATTTTAGTAATGATGACCGAGACTATGCAAAAATTTCACCGACTTCTTTCTCGGCTCATAGTGGATCAATTTGACTGAAATTTTCAGCAAATTACCTTTACACTATCTAGTTTTTAACTATTATAGTGAGAACTGCCATCTCTTTATCTTATCTCCCATAATGTATCTTTAAATGTGTGAATTGTAAATTTAATTCTGTTAGCCTAGCGTAAGAAAAGAAACGTGTGGAATACATACGGTAGGCCCATTGGATTGTTCCGTTTATCAATATACTCAATAATAATATAGTCCTAGGATTCGTAGGCGTTTTTTGTTCAGGTACCTGTACCGAGAATACGGAGGGAGACAACCAATCGTTCTCATGGCCTTCTTGGTTGTTTGTGTGGTAATGAGAGGTATTTTAGAATACTTTGGAATATTTCTGGGCTGATCCCCATGTATACTGTTTTCTATACACACAAGAGTCGTCCAATTTGAGCTCGTTACTTAAAGATGCATTATGGGAGATAAGATAAAGAGCTGGCAGTTCTCGCTATAATAGTTAAAAACTAGATAATGTAAAGGGAATTTGCTGAAAATTTCTGTCAAATTGAACCGGGACTTTAGCGATTGAATTTTCGGCCTAGCCTCGATCATCATTACTCGTGACTATATCAGACCGGTGACCGTTAATTCTTTCCCTGCTTTTCACGTACAACGAGGGAATCGAAACCACCCCAATTGACTCAATTATCTAGGTATAAAAACTATTCAAGTTATAACTCTAGTTACAACTATTTTCGATTTACATCTGACCTTCTTGTCTAGAATCAAGAATCAAGAATCACAGAAGTTTCTGTTCATGTGTGTTTTTTTTGTGTCCAATTAGACTTCTGTATAGGATCGTGACAAAAAGAACTGTATAATGTTAAACCAGTGATTCCATTGAGAATCTATTTTTATTAAGTAATTTTTAGGGGTTTTGCTTTACATAATCGTTATATACTAACCAGCAAAAAAAACCCCAAAAACCCCCCAAAAAACGTCAGTACGATTTCAAAATCAGAGAGGCACTTTAATCAAATCATTCTAGAAAACGACTTACTAAATGGGTCAAAGCAATTTTTTGTGAACAGTATGTTGAAACATTAGTGATGAATTCATCACAATTCCAATACATTACGAGAAGGTTTAGAGTCTGTACACAGTCTATACATTAGTATCTGGTGTGTCCACCGCGAGTGTCAATAACAGCAGCGTAGCGTCTGTACATGGAGTGGACCAGACGAATGATGAACGCCATTAACACCTGGAACCACACTCTCAGAAAATCCATCGGCTGTGTTTGGTCTCGGTACGACGTTATTAAGTCTCCTCTGAATTTCATCCCAAAGATGTTTAATCGGCTTTTAGTCCGAACTAAGGGCTGGTCACCGTTCTGCTGTAGAAAGTCCCGAGTATTACTGTGGCGGTGTGGGCACGGGCGTTGTCATGCTGTAATAGTTGTAACTAGAGTTATAACTTGGATAGTGTTTATACCTAGACAATTGAGTCAACTGGGGTGGTTTCGATTCCCCGGTTGTACGTGAAAAGCAGTAGGGTCGCCTGTCCCAACCTCGTGGGTTTTCTTAGGTTTACTCCCACTGCTAAAGACCCCTAAGCGCATGCGAATTATTGAAATAAAATTGAAAAGGATGTTTGTCCCGAAATGACCTAGTTTGTGTCGAGTGGACGTTAACCCTCCCTCTTTCTCTTCTCTCTCTCTCCCTGCCTTCCTTTCTTTTGTTACGGATTTCGGAAAGAACATCCGGTCAGATGATACGGATTGTGTCAAGAATCTTAAAGTATCCATACAATATAGATATGGCGTCGGATAGTAATGGTGCTGTGCCATGCTCTCTCACATTTAAAGATTTAAAAAGTTACACAGAATCTTGGTTCACATACACAAACTGATTTTGATAAATTTCTTTAAAAGAGCAGCAAATGACCTGCCTGATTGTTTTGTATCAATGTCTTTGCACTTTCTAGAAGACTATGATTTTATGACGTCACGTTAAAGAAGCATTCAGATCATAATTTAACAAAATCATATCTATTGTTATCACTAAGAAAGCTTAGTTTTCCAATTTCTGTACACATATTCAATTCATTTCCATTATCGGTTTCCGTTCATTACCCAATTCATTGATTTATATTTACTTGGTATCATTAATTTTCATGCTACTGCATTCTCACTTTAATTAAATTTCACGACACAACATTTCAAACTAATATGTATATTGTAACATAATGTTCTTATCAATTTAATTTAATTTGAAATTAAATTTATTTATATATTATTTTGATGATTCACAGAATACATGATGGAGAGATGGGGTGGAGCTCCACGGCATCAAGGTTGTCGCATTCCAATTAATTTGCAATATAGAATTTATTCGTATTCATATAAATGATATAATTTGCAAATTGTCCAATAATCCATAACGATATATCTTAAATGAATGAAATACACTCCCATAAATGTTCATCAATACAGTTCAATTTATGTTCAGAGAAAACTGTTTCAATTTGATGGCAAGATAGATTTCTGATATATTTCGTTAATTATTATCGGCGACGTTTTACTTGGTCTTAGAAATTTCTTATCATTTTTGTCCATTTGTCAAATAAGCTATTTGTTTTTAATTGATTTATATAGCAGTAAACAAAACTCTCTGTACGTTATACGGAAATGGTGATTGAAATACATAGTCTTCTAAAATTA